TGTTTCCTCCAGCCCTCCCAAACGTCTCCCACAAATAAAATCTGCAGAAATTACTCACCCAGCTTGGCTAAGGTCAAAGACTTTGCCGCGGTTGGTGTCATTGCCATAGGACTTTGGTGTCGGTCGCTCGTCCACGCCCGTTTGGTGGCACAGAAGGAAGGTGACGATTTCATTGCGTCCCTCAAGAGCCATGACGACTGCTTTTCCATCGCTTGAAATCTCGCACGCTGTGATAGCCTGGTCGGGGGTCAACACTGCTAGGCTGTTTCCTGTTGGTTACAAGTGTGAGGTTTAACAATTTGCATCTTGGAAGTGTAGGGTGCTTTTGTTTTAATAAGTGCTTACAGATCTGGAGTCATTAAATGAGGGAAAGCTTATGGGTTAAAATATTAACACTTTTCATGATGATTATATATCAAGAAATAATTACTCAAAACCTCTCAAAATAGGAATTCAAGGATCTAACCTACCTTCTCCATACTCTCACATGATGAACACTAAAAGCTCCCCTTAAAAAAAACACAGGGTACATTTCCACACCTACACCTTACTTATGACCAAACAGACTAAAGAACCCAGACTCGAGAACTTACCTGTGTGAATGTCCCACACCCTGACGGAGCGATCTCTGCCCAGGGAGTCGAAGGTGAGGCACTGCAGACCTCGGTTGTCCAGCCTGATGGTGTTCGGGGGCGCCGTGTGGCCCTTCAGCGTCCAGCGGGGATTGCCTGTCAGACATTGGCTCTTTAGTTTTAGAAGTAATTTCATTCCTGCCATTATATCCATTGTCTTTTCTTCCTGTTATACCTATTTATGTTAAATACTTGAAAGGTCCGATTCTAACAATATTTTCCAATTCATTCAAGTGAGACAGTTCTTAAGAATAAAGGGATATCTTTCTGGTATTTACTCAGATTGTGAAGAGGACACAGGTTTTAAATGTCACATCTATTAAACACTACAATGTTGTAAATACTGAAAGGAACATCAACAGAAAATATTTTTCAATTGTGAAGAGGCTGAATTTTTTTTCTGTTGAAAAAAATATCCTCTGTATTATCCTAGCTTCCTAAAGAAGAAAAGAATATATATACATATATATGTACATACATACACATTTATGTATATGTGTGTGTGTGTGTGTGTGTGTGTGTGTGTGTGTGTGTGTGTGTGTGTGTGTGTGTGTGTGTGTGTGTGTGTGTGTGTGTGTGTGTGTGTGTGTGTTTGCCTTTGCAAATTTCCACCCAACCTGTTTTTCAATCCCTAACCCGCCCAAAGCGAGGCCAAGCCCTTTACCCGTGATGAGGTCGTAGGCCATGAGCTTGGAGTCCTCGAGGCCCACGACCACGCAGCCTCCTGCCGAAGAGATGGCGATGGAGATGATGTTGACTCCGGGCTTCCACTTCTTGAAGAGGGTCCCGCTCTGGAGGTCGTAAACCACGATGAAATTGGGCGCTGGTTCATCCACCTCCTGGAAAGCAAGGGAGAGGTTGTCTCACGGTTGATTTTTTTTCTTTTTAACAAGTATTCCGCGTAAATTTAAAGTTCAAGGAAGACGAGTTTATCTCTTGAAGTCACAAAGATGCTTTCACGCCAGAATGTCATGTCGCAAGTGGCAACTGACACTGGCAGTGATTTCAGATGAAAGTCACAAGTGGCGCATGTCAGCCGGCTTTCAATAGTTAACAAGATGGTATCACTGGAGGAGGAGGATGTTGTCTTTAGTCCCAAATAGTCTTGTGACAACCAGCTAACTGTCATTTATTGTGGCAGAATGTGAGGCAGACCTGTTGCAAGCCTCCCTTCTCTGTCCAGGGTATGGGGGTATGCTTGGGCTGACCCCTGAGCTGGCTTACCACATTACCGCAGATGACACGAATGCTGCGCTGGATCAGCTAGTAATCGATGACCACCTATAATCATGATGTAAGAATTTATGCAATTTTTAAATAAAAGTAATAGGTTTGCAAAACTGAACTGAGGTGCAGACGTTGTTAAGGTTAATGAATATTTTACCGACATCTTAATGGGAAGTCTAGGCTCCATCCATTTGTATTTCTCCACAGCTTGTAAAGATGTTACGTCAAATGGTTCATTGTCTCGACGAGTATAGTTGTTCACGAGAGCAAGCACACATCGTACTATTTCCTCCTGTCATTAGTGTAACTAGCCTCTCGTGCCAAGTCTCCCTCGCCGGCGACCGAGGCAGTGTGGCAAGTGCGTCTGGCGGAAATCTGCCTTACCACTTCAAAACTACTCTATATATGTCATACAAGTAAACAGAAAATGTACAAGGTGGCTATGCTGTAGCATAAAACCACAAGGTCACATAGCGTCCACATGAAACGTAAGTGTTGGTTCAGTCTAAAAGGACTTTGCGAATGTGATCTTCGCCCCATAACTCAGCATTTACTGGAGTCTTACTGGATTACCTCAGCTTTCATGAAGTAAATGCCACAGCCTGCTTTCCAGCCCGAAGTCCGTGAATGGTAATCCTTGT